TAAATTTTAATACAAGTAGATAATAATAATATATTATTCGAATATAGGTACAACTATATTAGAATTTTTGAAGTATTACATAATTTCATATTATAATATGTCCATTCTATTTAACTATTTATAAAGTAAAAAACAAGGATAGGTCAAATATTGTCTCGATAGAGTTTTGAAAAAACACATATCGACATGAATAAATAAATAATTAAATAAATATATTTATTTTACTCGTAGATAAAAAACGTATCTTTGGTTGCTAGTATTACTTTTTCTTTTTCAAAAATATTGATCCGACAATTTTTCATAAAACATCTCCACCGAATTACATTTGTTTGTGACGTATAACCAAAAACATATTTAAACCCATCAAAAATCAACATTGTTTTACCTCTTTTACTCACAACAAATTCGATTTTAAGAACTGTAAGTAAGTAAAAACGCTTAAGTGTTCTGGTGACAAAAAGAACAGATACTGAATGGAAATATAAGAATTTAACATTTTTCAGATAATTATTGTGTGTGAATCATAAATAAACTATGATGCAGTATGTCGAACAGTGTACTCTTATTATTAACCATTATTATCGACGATTTTCAGTGTATACATTACAAATGTCTATTACACATACCATAACATATATTCAATATTGCTCAAAAATTAAAACCAATGGTTTTCAAACTTTTTTTTGGTGAAAATGACTTTTAGCAAAAACGGGAATCGTACCTTTATCGTTTTTGACAGAAAAAGGCTATGGCGGAAACGGTCAATATTATTTTAGCGGAAACGGGAAACTCCCGACGCGCCGTGGGTTTGATCTTTAATTGAATAATTTTTCATTATTATTATTGTTTTTTTCCTCTATACGTAGAAGAAGAAATATCAAAGACTTTTTACGTGTGTATTTTTATTTTGTTTCATTATTTAATACCAGTACGCATTATGTTACAATAGGCGTGGTATTACCGTACATAAAAAAAAAAAAAAATGTTGAACTGCAACGTTAAATTGAGGGCAACTGGTACATTTCGTTCTAGGTAGTTTGATGATGGAGGAGGATGGGGGAGAAAAGGCAAAAGAAAAAAAAATTTAAGGGTTACTGGTGGTGCATTACTGTCCCCCCTCTCTTACCGCCGTGTTCGACGTGATGGTAAATCACTCGTCGAATCGACGACACGCCTCGGGTGTACCGAGAGCGAAATGAAAAACGTGCGCACATCCGCGTGAATAAAATACCCACGACCCACGACGGTGGTCATTAATAAACTCGACCGCCGGCCAATCGCGGCGTAATCCACCTGCACCCACTCGATACGCTTCTATTCGGGTCGGTGCGCACACGTTTTTACCACCGAGCGGCGAACGCGACGTGCATTTTGGACGCACTAAACGCCGCGGTAGCCCTGTCAAGGTACACGACGGCCGGCTGGAAATTAATTCTCCGGTATCGGAAAAACATGTTTCGCGCTTGGTCAACAAAAGAGAAAACAAATAAATAAACACCCTCCCATTTTAAATCACGTCTGCACCTGAAACGAGTCTGTCGGTTCAAGTTTCCATCCCGATGCAAGATCTTCATGCAATCACTATCATTATTATCCCCTGACCGTCGAAGACGTTCCGTTACACTTTCTCGTATCGGTGTAATCTGTGCAGTGTCCGTAATCTTATCCCAAGCATTATCTCGTCATTAATAATGATTACACTCAACGCAGTACATATTTAAAGTTACACCGATCTCCATTTTGTAAATCCTATGATTTTATGATATGTGCATATGGTACATGTTTTTTATTTTTTTTTTATTCGATAAAACGCAGAGGACAACAATGATGACGTATTGCTGTCCGATTTCTTTGAGTATTCATACAATTATTAATGAACTACCAGACAACTCAATAAAATTACATATTTTACAGTGATCTAAATAACGAATCTTTTATATCAATGCAAATAAATGTTTAAGAAATAAATGTATCAACATTTGAAATAAATAAATTATGATATTAAATAGATTATATCTTCATTTTAATAATTTATCTCAACTCTTTTATGACAATATTTTTATATCATTCATACAAAAATATATCGGATTATAGCGACTATGATTAAAAAACTTAATAATATTTTTTTTTTTTTTTTACGTAATATGTATTTAAGATTCATTTTTTCCTTTTATCATATATTTTTACATACATTTTCAAATGAAATTAAAAAAAGAGAGAAATAAATTGTACTAGCTAACTATGAAAAATGATGCAACAATGACAAGTAATATTCAAAGAATATTACAACTTATTTTTCATATTATAGAAAATTAATATAAATTGTATTATTATTTTGAACCTTGAATGAATCAAGAACTAGTGTATTGATTTAATCATAAGGTTTTAAATTAATAATCTTTACTATGTTGCAGGGATGGGCAATTTAAAGTAACTAGCACGCCGATTTTTAAAACTTTAAAATTTGACGGGCCATAGTAAAGAATGCAAAAATGCAAAAAGATCATTAAAATTGACAATCATAATTTATTTAAATTATTTAATTTTACGACTGAGCCAATAAAATAAAATAAGTGCTTAAACCTACAGCAAAGTTAGCTACGCCGATATGGATATAAATTATACTTCTGAACTGGAGTTCAATGCTAGAGAAAAATATAATATCAACATTTTACGATCAACATAACAAAATTAGATACTAATAACCGTTAAAATGTAATGAAGTGATTTGCAAAATATAGCACGGGCCAGATGAAAAAAGTAAACTGACCGCCAGTAGCCCATCCCTGCTATATCGTATACTGCATCGGTAAAGTACTTAAAACAGAAATTTTTTCAAATTTCTCTGTAGCTTCTTTATTTTATGTGATCAATCGAAAAAACTATCATAATATACATTATATGCAAACAATTATATTTTATTTAATAAATTAAGCAAAATTTGTAATTAACCGTATGACAAGATTCCGCTCTAAAGTATTAAATATATTTTATAAAAAGTTAAATTATGTGTTTTAAAATATATTTATCATTATTTCTTTTAATAGTGAATTTCAAGATTTAAAAAAACAAAATCTTTCTTGTTTGTAAATTTACTAATTTATATAATAATTATATAAAATTAATTAATTAATTATTTAATTATTAAATTAGGTAGTTAATTTTTTCCTCAATTTTTTGCTCGATATTTTATCAAATAATCATAATAAAACATTAAAACCTAATATGATCTACGTGTAAAAAATAAAATATTTTAATATTTAAATAGAACAGTGATCCATGTGGATTTTGGTCAGGACATACTTGGGAGAATGTAATATGTTTAATTTAAATTAATTTAAAAAAAGTATGTCAAAAATTATGTCACCGAAACAACTGATGTTATAAAAAAATTATCATATACTCCAATAAAAAAGATACTCGAAACCACTATATCAGAAAACATTCAGGGGAAGAAATATAGTAGGTTTTCCTTATTATAAAAAAATATTTAAAAACTTTTAAATCGTCTATATAATAGGAAGAATGTAAATGTATTTATATGCTGTGTGATGTATAAGCTATAATTAATAATGTATATTAATACTTAATATACTAATTAACTAACATATCGTTAGTAAAGAAATAGAAATAAAAAATCTAAAACTACAACAAATATTTATTTATGTGATGATTATTTGTATGATCGTAGCAATTTTACCACAAAAAAATTAACATTAATTTTTAATAAGTGTGATTTGTTTTGTATTTGTGATTAGTTTTTTAATATTAAATCCACGATGTACAAGCCGGTGTTATAATTATTAAAATCCGATTAAATTAAAATAATTATTAATGTTATTGTTATTTTACAGCACAGATTCCAGTAATAATTTCCCATCATTTTTACCAAGCCCGAACACCGTTAATTAAATTTACCCAAGTCATAATGACCTTACATATTAAAGGAACATAGGAGCAGTATAAAAACAAAACTAAAAATTATTTAATTTATTTTTCAATGTAATATTTAAATAAAAAAATTAAAACTTTATGTCACTTTAAAAGTGAAAAACTCTTTAGAAATATTATTATAAACTTTAAAACTTTGGACTAACACACTTTTACAAAGAAGACAATATACTTAAAGTATTAATTTTTAAACATCATTACTTTACATAAACCTCAAATTATTTATAAAAAGCAAAACAATTAACACCTTATTTTCAAGTTAATGTTAAATTAATACACTTCAAAGGATACTTAATTTAATCTATATTTCAAATAGGTAAAAAATAGGTAAAAAAATAAAATTTCTAAATGCGTTATTGCATCATTAAACATTCGAGATGAATTAAAAGTATTTAAAATGTTATGAACATAGTAGAATTATAAGTGGTTTTGTATAGTTTTATAATAATAAATAGTTGCTAACGCTAAATTCTATACAAATGTAATGAATATATTAGCATAGAGTTAACTTCTAATAACAAATAATTTAATGCATTTTAATACCTAAGTGTTTTACTGGGTATTTAAAAATGCTGAAATTTATAATTTAACTATTTATAATGAGTAATGAAATTTTGCTCACATTAAAATTTGATAAACAATTTTTAAAAATATTTAAAAAAAATATTATTCAATAACAATCATTGAATACGAAGTTTTAAAATTTTTATGAATAAAATATAACTTCAAAGAATTTAGATCAATATTGATTTTTGAAAAAATATATTTTCTAAGACTCTGATAATTGGTGAATACAAAAGCATTGTAATAACAGTCTCAGAACTTTTATTAGATAACAATTAGACGATAACAGTAAAATAAAACCAAATAAATCCATTGTTAGACTAGAAATGAAACGAACACAAAATGTACTATTATTAAACAATTTAGTAAAATATTTTTTTATAAGAACCTTTTTACAAATTTACATATTTGGTGCCATTGTAGTGAAACAATAATATACCAGATAACTAAAACGAGATGGTACGAACACAAATTATCTTACTTACATTAACGAATTTTAATCCGGCCAACAATAACACGACTACCGACAACACGTCACTAACGGAACCTAACACGCGACTGCCGAGCGTCGGAAAATAAGTGAAAAACGCGGTAAAATAACCAGTGACGCCGAAGCGGTGTCGTGTACTTTCGTCCGTCGTCGTTACACGTCCGCTGCGCTATACTAAATTTATTGTTCGGTTATCGCATTGTCGGATACAAATTAAGAACTGTTTTTAAAATCTGCAGTGCCAAACAAAAAAGTTTGTTTAATTTTCAACTTCCAGTCATCCATGATATATTTAAGTATTAAGATACATTCAAATTACGTGCATAGAAGTTTTTTTTATCTTTATGGCTACTAGTTAATCCCGACATTTTTGGACAATTTTTTTATTTCTCATTGAAAGTTTTTGAATTAAATGAATTTGACACAAATTTGATGCTCAATTAAACAATCTCCCGTTTTAATTTTCTATATTATGTTAAAACGAAAAAATTATAATAAATTAGAAGCCAAAGCAATTTTGTGTAAAATACAAAATGTTTGAAAATATGTACCTGTCGTACTACTTGAAGACGGACGAAGTGGAGACGTTTACTGATTACACTTACTTGATTTTTTACTTACTGCCAGCCAAAACAATTTTGTGTACACAAATTGGTATTTGATAGTCGATAACTGTCAAGCTTTGTGAAGAGAGAAGTAACAACGTCTACTTGCTCTGACTTCCGGGAATAAAAATTACATTTTAATTTTAAACTTAAATGATACCTATCACCAGATAAGATAACATTATATTATAAAAATGTACGTCTTATATTCGCATACAACAATATTAGAATTATTATATTATGGTTAACAAAAAAAATAAAAAATAAAACCCAATTATCAAATGTTCGGTATCAGAAAATTCATTTTAAAAGCGTTCTATGATATATTATATTTTCTATTATATATAGCATTTATGGTAATAGCAATGTATGATCGCGGTCACCCCGTTCTACCGTAACCAACCATACCAACTAAACTAGATAGAATCGAAATCCGAAACGCAACTGTCAATTTATTTCTGTATAATAATATATATAATACAATTATATATATTTCTGTAGTTCTAATTCTGTCACATCTATATGATTTTAAATTAAAGTCTTTAATTTATTAATTTTCTTACACCAATTACCAGTGGCGTGGTAAACTTTCTATACCAATGAGGCGAACAAAATTTGAGATACCTACCACCAGTGACAACGCAACGGGTGGGGAATTCCTATAAATTTAAAGAATCTTTGTACAGTCGTTGCCAGATAAATTGAGACGGCGGCAGCGACGTGATAACGGAAAACCAGCGGTTCCCCGTATTTCAATATTATTACCGAAAATACATCAATTAACCAACAATTATTACAATAATTATTTTACGACATTAATTCCAAATTATTTCCCTATCTTGACTGTGAGCTTTACGATTTTTAATTTTTTAACTGATTCTAAAAAAACTATTTATTTTATAGCGTAGGTTTTCAATACAAAAGAACACGAACACAATACTGGCACGAATGAGTAAATATCTTAGATCATATGCAATGGATGGAGTCCTACAAATAATTTGTGAAGCCAACATAACAGTAGGACCGCGAGGATATGCGCATGCGCGTGGCATCTTATCATTAATTTTTGGCGCACATTAGGGATGGGAAGTTTCGTTCAGTTGAGTGAACTAGTTCGTTCGTTCATCGTTCACTGAACGATACACGGATTGACTGAATTAGAGGTGTGTCGTTCGCGAACGAACGGGTCGTCGTTCGTCCGATTCTTTTTTTTGTAAGTTGGATTCACTGAAACCGTTCATTTTTCAATTCAAGTTATTTTTATACATTACATTAATATAAACAAAATAATATTACAATAATAATAAAAATTGACATAACAATATATATAAATAATAAATATATTAATATTCAATTCAAAATCCGCGCGAATCACTGAATCAGTACCATGATTTAAGATAAATATCTTAAACCGTGATCGGTACTGCACTCTTGATAAATAAAAATTAACCATCATAAATATTGTAGTGGTATGGTTGCATGGTTGCACTGTTCAAAACGATGATAGTTCAAAATTAATAAATCGTTCTCGATTGAACGATTTAATTATTCTTATCGTTCGTTCATCAACCAATCGTTCATTGAACTAGGTCGTTCATGAACGACACATCACTAGCGCAGATATTAATTAATTGATTATTGAACAAGATAATGATTAACTATAAAGTATAAGTGTTTGTTAAGTTTCTAAATACATTATTATAATAATATAATTAATTATATTGTATATGCGTCAAAATGATGATCAATAACAATATTTCGTAAATTCCGAATTAGTGATGCCTAAATTCAATTTTAAACCGAAAAATAGATAAGCATGCACGCATGTGAAAATGTCACCGGTCCTATAGTTATGTTGACTTCAACTCATTCTATAGGTGTGATAGACGATGACTCTATCCATTGTATATGATCTAAGGTAAATATCCATCTATTTTAGTATATTCCAGTGGCGTAGCCAAAGGGGGAGGGGCTAAGGAGGCTATAGCCTCTCCCATGGGCCGTGTTTATATGTATAATGTATCTTGACTATTTAATAGAATCAATGCTCGTTTTAATCAAAGGCTTTTTGATGTTATGCCACTTGAAGGACTTATTCCGACCAATTTAAATATGTTTGACGATAAAAATATTATAAAAGCTGCTAAAATATATGTCCAAGATCTCCATGATGATAGCTCATCTACAATCAGAGCTAACCTGTTCATATGGAGGCAATAATGGAGTCAAAATACAATTCCAAAACCGAATTCTGCTCTTGATTCACTCTCTCATTGCACCAATCTTCGACCTAACATTAAAATACTTTTACAATTATTCTCCACGTTACCAGTTACCTCTTTCACTCCGGAAAGAACGTTTTCAGCACTTAATCGATTAAATTTTTTTTTTTAAGAAGCACCATGTCGGTAAACAAACTGAATGGGTTAGCAATGGCCAATATAAATAAAAAAGAGCAATTCGATGAAAGTGAAATAATAACTGAATTTGCCAGAAATTCGCCTATGAGGATGCAGCTGTCAGAGTGGAGCAAGTGACTGTACACTGAAACCAAAATTATTATTATCATTATAAATTATATATTAATAAATATTTTTAAAACTATATTAAAATGCTTGAATTACGTTTAGAAACTTGGTGGTAGATGGTGGGGGGAGGTGAATTCTCATATCCTCTCTTACCTTACTTATTCAAAAAAAGTGGTTAGCCCCCCCCCCATTTAAAAATCCCGGATACGCCACTGGTATATTCCATATAAATATATTCTATAAAGTCCATATCTATTAATATTTAATATTGTCATTAGTCAGCCGAGTAATTTATATCTATACATTTATAATAAACAAATTGTTGATGCAATTGAAGTGCCACCGCGCGGTCGAAACACATCGGGTTCGAACTGGTGACTGTGAACATCGTAGCTAACCTAACCTAACTTGTGTGACCTTTGCACCACACTACCAGCGACTAGTTTAGGCTACACTTCATGAAAAGTGCCGCCGCCGTCTCAATTTATTTAGCAACGACTGTACCTACTGATCAAGTATCGTACACCCGATTTGAATGTACATACCTATCTAAATAATTAGTCTTTATTATTATAGTTTATGTATGATGTATATATTATATATTGTATAGTTACTATTATGTTTCGGCCATGGCCTCTCAAAAATCCCTTCATCATGCCACTGCCATTAACCATAAAGTTATAATACAAATAATGGAGTATAATAAATAATTTTTTTTCTTTTTTTAAGCGGATTTGCAGCACTTATCTCACTTGCCCTAACCGCACGTCACTGATCTTCATCATACAATACCTATAGTTTACAATTAAACAACAATTGAAAAATAATAAAAAGTTTAACGGATGGAATAGTGTGTTATGAATTACATTTTTTAAATATATTATGAATTAACATTAAACAATCATCTGAAAACACTATAAAAATAACGTAATTAACCGTAAAATATTCAATTATGATAGAAAAATATAAAATGTGAAGATAATATTACCAATTCAATAAACAATAAAATATTTAGTGGCATATATTTGGGGGGTGGGAAATTCCCGACTCACAACCCCCCAGAAGAAAAATTTTTCAAATACCTAAATGATTTTCTACGAAGGTACAGAGAAAGAAAACATTTATTTATATTATGTGGTTGTAAATAAATCTTCATTTGTATTTATAATAATAATTGAATGGAAATTGAGGAAAGTTTAACTTTATGGTTTATTCATTTTTATAATTTATATAGAGTGTTTTATAAATAAGTATTAAAACGAATAATTGGAGTTTGTAGTTAAAGTATAAATAATGTTAAATAATAATAATGTTAATTTTTGAAAAGTACAATCTTTTGGCGTTGTATTTTTCTTTTACTCTATGATTTTAATGTAAAAACTTTTGTATCCTATAATGTTATGAAGAATTGTAGAATTTATTTGACTCATATTCATAGTAAAGTAAAGTAGTTTATATTTTTTATAGTTAGTTACAAGAAATTAATAAACATTTGGAGTATTAGATTAGGCTAGGTATTTTTATTTTACTATAATTAAATTATAAAAATAAAATATCTTCGAATTCACATTATTTAATCAAATAAAAACCAATAAAAACATTTATTTACATATGTACTATACACTGTTTTTTGTATATTAATTCATATTTTTTAAAAACTGAACAACAATACTTTCACACAAATTATAATTAACCAAAATTGACTTATAAATGAAGTAACTACCTTATGTTCTTTATTTATTTTAGAGACTATATGCGTAAATATAAAATTTCGTATGCTCAACTGAATTGGTCGATAAAAGATTAATTTGTATGATTATTAACAATATTACATTCGTAAGATAAAGCTTTACATTAAGCTACTACACAAAAAGCACAAAATATATTTTAATATGAATTTATTTTAAAATACATTTACAATAATTTACC